CGGGTCCGGGCTGGGGATTCGAACCCGCCACCTTAGGTGTACGTGGCTGGCGCCTTAGCCGGTTGAGCTATAGGCGCCGAGCCCAGAATCTCACTCTTGCTTGAGCTGGTCTCCAACTCCTAAGCACAGGCGATCCACCCACCTCAGCCTCTCAAGAGTGCTAAGGTTACAGGCTTGAGCTACCATGCCCAGTCAGAATAAATTCTTAAGCCCAGGAGTTTGAAGTTGCAGTGAGCTAAGATGATCACACCACTGTACTCCAGCTTAGGCAACAGAGTGAGAACCTGTGTCTAGTAAAAAGAACATAAAAAACACATCTCAGAGGTGCTTTTCCAGTAATGTGCTATAATGTGCTATAGAATTGCAGAATTCTGAGGGAGTGGGTATGAAAAGAACCTATTAGAAGTGAGGCATAGGGGCTGGGCATGGTGGCTCATGCCTATAACCCTAGCACTCTGGGAGGCAGAGACAGGTGGATTGCTTGTGCTCAGGAGTTCGAGACCAGCCTGAGCAATAGCAAGACCCCATCTCTATTAAAAATAGAAAAACAGGCATAACAATCTCAGGAGATCACAGGTTTGAGGTTACTGTGAGCTGTGATGCTAGACTGAGACTCTCAAAAAAGAAAAGAAAAAAAAAGTGTGGTAAAGTGTGCTGGTTTTAATTTATCTATTTTATATGTTGGACTTCTGTATAGGATTTCACTTGAAAAAAGAATTTTTTGTCTAGAAGAAAGTTGGAAAATCATTGGTTTAGTTCAGGTTCATCACTTGGGAAACTAAGCCCTAGAGAAGAGAAGGGCTTACCCATGGTTACACAGCAGACTAGTGGCAGAGCCAGGTTGGGAACTCAGACCTCTGACTCTTCCCCAGGGGGCTTTTGCAATTCCTTCCCTATAGACCTCACCAAAGCCCTACATCTGCTGTCTGAGAATAATCACTCTCATATACCTACACAAGACTGTGAGGGTAGTGTATCAGGGTGGTCGCCCTCAGTTTACAGATACTGGGGCAGGGGGTGATAGAGACTGAAGCTTAGAGGCTAAGTGTTCATGCAAGGTCTTCAAGTAAGTAGGGGCACTAGGACTTGGATCTAGGTATTACTCAGATGTTGCTTTGATTTGGCTATTTGTTTGTCTATCATAGCTCTAGTAAGTTCTTAAAAATAGTTGATTAGATCTTGCTTCACAAACCTTGAAGAAATATGGCTGAAGGTTATGTTTGGCAGACAGGCTACAGATGTGGCTTTCAGCTCAGGGTCAAGGTCCTCTAGTATACTTATTATTAAGCTCCCATTTTCCAAACATGAAGTATTCATTTTCTCCATAGCATTCCCAGGTTGGAAAAGCTCCTGGCTTACAAAATTCATTCTTACTGTGTGGCAGGGTTTGGGAGTTACTGTATGGAAGCAATATAATTAAGCAATAATTAAGAGGACAAGCTGTGGAAGCAGATTCCCTAGGTTCAAATCCTGGCTCTCTCTACCAGTTATCTGAACAAATTATCCAACCTTCTTGTGCCTCAGTTTTCTCATCTATAAAAGGGGAATAATAATTCTTGGTGTAAGGGTAGAACATGTTTTTGCTCGTAAAGCACTTAGACTGATGTCTGGCACTTAGTAAACCTATAATTAATGTTAGCTGTCACTATTATCCTATTTTACCAGAACATAACAAAAGTAACCAATAATAAATCTCTTGCCCTCGAGGAGGTTACTCACTTCTCAAAATGGGACAAACATATCACAGAATACATAAATTGCAATTTGCCAAGAAGTACTCGAGGCAGTGTAACTTGTGGTCATAAAGTTTGCATTCTCAAATCACACGGACCTGGGTTTCAAACCTGACCCAACACTTGATGACTGCAAGACCTCAGGCAGTCCCTGTCTGTCTGTCCTAAATGAGCTGCAGTACTGTAGCTATCTGACTATCTGATCTTCAGTATTATAGTAAAGTGTTAAGGGGATGCAGGGAAATAGTACACATACAACAGTGTTTGACATACAGGAAAGCACCCCCAAACTAATGGTTGTGATCTAAGCACCTCGCTTTCTCTTGCTCAGCAGGTGCTCTCTTCCAACCCTGCCTCCTTTTCCCCCCATCAGGGAGAAGCTGCAGAAGCATGGTGTGTGTATCCGGGTCCTGGGCGATCTGCATTTATTGCCCTTGGATCTCCAGGAGTTGATTGCACAAGCTATACAGGCCACTAAGAACTACAACAAGTAAGTTCTCAGATTTCTCCTTAGGACCTGAAGGAATTTTTTTGACTCTCTGCTAATCTTAAAGAGATATTCTACATCTTCCTTCGTCTACATTTGGTGAAAAGGGCAATGAGGGAATAGTTTGAGATACGTAGAGGTTTTTCTTCTTTCCATCTGCGGGGCAGACCAGAGATGATTCTGCAATACTGTGTTCCATGCGTGTATACTGACACATGCACACAGTTTTGTCCTTCACGTTCATGTTTCTCCTCCTTCCCAGTTGTATGTACTATATAAAAATATGTATGTATATGTACAGGTGTGTGTATATAATAATATACATATATTATTTTTAAGTTGACAGGGGACAGGAGCATGTCAGTCTTTATCCCTGTCTCTCTGAAGTTAAATCCTTCAAAAAATGCTTTTTCTGTTCCACTCCTTTAATCCGTGGATGATATCTGTGCAGAGGGGAAGAGAGTTCAGTAATCCAAACCTCACTTTGTGTAGTTTTGTAATAGAGCATGTGTTTAGCTTTGGATTTGCATCAGATCTCCTTCCTATTTTCCTTTGCTTGTGCTAATATGACAATGGATTCACGTCTTCTGAAAGCTGGTTAGCAGTAGAAGGGGGGTAGGAGGGCAATACAGGCCATTTAGTATTTGTCTTTTTATAAAACTAATATTGTGGGCTCGGCGCCTATAGCTCAACCAGCTAAGGCGCCAGCCACATACACCTAAGGTGGCGGGTTCAAATCCACAACCTGGACCCGCCAAACAACAATGACAGCTGCAACCAAAAAATAGCCAGGCGTTGTGGCGGGCGCCTGTGGTCCCAGCTACTTGGGAGGCGGAGGCAAGAGACTCGCTTGAGCCCAGGAGTTGGAGATTGCTGTGAGCTGTAATGCCACGGCACTCTACCCAGGGGGACAGCTTGAGGCTCTGTCTCAAAAAAAAAAAAACAAAAAAAAACAAACTAATGTGTTTATTCCAAAAAAACTTGAACACTACAAAAACTCATAATCTCACCTTTCAGAGGTATCCAGGGCTAACTCTGGGGTGCGTTTGTTTTTCCAGGGAAGGGCTGCTCTATACTCAATGACTGCAGTCATCCGTCCTTGTCTCCTTTTGTAAATTATTCTGTTCTTTCCACCTCAGATGTTTCCTGAATGTCTGCTTTGCATACACATCTCGTCATGAGATCAGCAATGCTGTGAGAGACATGGCCTGGGGTGTAGAGCAAGGCCTGCTGGATCCCAGGTATTCTGAGATTTTTCACATAGTAGTCAATGGAACAGACACGTATGGAACCATAGACCCCTCCTGTGCCATGAACTTGGCCAGAGGTCAAATCAGGGCTACATGTTGAAAGATTTAGGGGGGATCTCCCAAACAAGATTCAGATATTTTTCTAAAAGAAAATTGTTAATGATTAACAGAATAGTGGAATCCTAATTATTAGAGCTTGGGAGGGCTTTAGAAATGATCTGTTCAGTCCCTCCATGTTATTATTAATGTAATTGTTCATAATAATATTCATAAACTAATAATAGCAATGGTAAAATAATAGGAGTAATAAATGACCGAGGCATTGCATTATGTTCTGTATTTTATATGTAATTTACCTTGTGTGTGAGAGATTCAAGTTTATTGTCCATTTTATAGATGAGAAAACTGAGCTTATCTTTGAAGTGTCTTGACCAAGGTCATTTTATTATTAAGTGCCAGAGCTGGGACTCATATCTAAAGCTGTTTGATTTCAGAGTTCTTATTCTTTACCTCTATTATATGGAATCTTGGGACCCAGGAAGATTTCTGACTCTCTTCTTGGGTATAATTCAGTTGACCTGGGAAACTAAGTTAAAAATCAAGAAGTTGCTCAGGCTCAGCGCCTGTGGCTCAAGCGGCTAAGGCGCCAGCCACATACACCTAAGGTGGCAGGTTCGAATCCCCAGCCCGGGCCCGCCAAACAACAATGATGGCTGCAACCAAAAAATGGCCAGGCATTGTGGCGGGCACCTGTGGTCCCAGCTACTTGGGAGGCGGAGGCAAGAGACTCGCTTGAGCCCTGGAGTTGGAGGTTGCTGTGAGCGTGATGCCATGGCACTCTACCCAGGGGGATAGCTTGAGGCTCTGTCTCAAAAAAAAAAAAAAAAAAGAAGTTGCTCAATTGGGAGGCCAAGGCAGGTGGATTGCTTGAGCTCAGAAGTTAGAGATCAGCCTGAGCAAAAGTGAGACAACTTCTCTACTAAAAATAGAAAAACTGGCTAGACATGGTGGCACATGCTATAGTCCCAACTACTCAGGGAGGCTGAGAGAAGAAGATGGCTTGAGCCCAGGAATTTGAGATTGCTGAGATCTATGATGCCACAGCAGTCTAGCCTGGGGCAACAGAGAGAAACTCTGTCTCAAAAAACAAAACAAAAAGAGTTTGCTTGGCTTGGCGCCCATATTCAGTGGCTAGGATGCCAGCCACATACACCAGATTTGGGTTCGAATCCAGCCCGTACCCGCCAAACAACAATGACAACTATACCCCAAAAATAGCCAGGCATTGTGGTGGGCACCTGTGGTCCCAGCTACTTGGAAGGCTGAGGCAAGAGAATCACTTAAGCCCAAGAGTTTGAGGTTGCTGTGAGTTGTGATGCCACAGCACTCTACCAAGGGTGACATAGTGAGACTCTGTCTCAAAAAAAAAAGTTTGCTCACTGCGAATAGAATTAGATAAGAAAGAAAAGAGATAAGGGCCAGACACAGTGGCTCTGGGAGACCAAGATTGCCTGAGCTCACCGGTTCAAGACCAGCCTGAGCAAGAGCAAGACCCCCCCATCTCTAAAAATAGCAGGGCATTGGGGCAGGTGCCTGTAGTCCCAGCTACTTGGGAGGCTTAGGCAAGTGAATCACTTGAGCCTAAGATTTTGAGGTTGCTGTGAGGATTGACACCATGGCACTCTACTAAGGGTGAACAAGTGAGACTCTGTCTCAGAAAAAAAAAACTCAGTCAGGAGGGCACCGGCCCCATACACCAAGGGTATCTGGTTCGGACCTGGCCCTGGCCAAACTGCAACAAAAAATAGCCGGGTGTTGTGGCAGGCACCTGTAGTCCCAGCTACTCGGGAAGCTGAGGCAAGAAAATCACCTAAGCCCAAGAGCTGGAGGTTGCTGTGAGCTGTGATGTCACGGCATTCTACCAAGGGTGACAAAGTGAGGCTCTGTCTCTAAAAATAAACAAACAAATAAATAAAAGGAAAGAAAAGAGATAATTTTGAAGGCTAGTTTATGAGTGCTTCTCTTTGCCAAAACAAAAACTAGGTGATCTTTCTATGCCACATGTCAATCATTCATTCATTTAACAGTTTTGGGGTTTTTTTTTGAGACAGTCTCACTATGTCACCCTTGGTAGAGTATTGTGGTGTCACAGCTCACAGCAACCTCAAATCTTGAGCTTAAGCAATTCTTTTGCCTCAGCCTCCCTAGTAGCTAGGACTACTGGTCCCCACCACAACGCCCAGCTATTTTTTTGTTGCAGTTGTTTAGTTGGCCTGAGCTGGGTTTCAACCCACCACCCTCAGTGTATGAGCCTTAACAAATATTTTTTAAGCCAACTATAGGTAGACACATTGCTGTACATAGGGGATAAAAATACCTATTTTCTGCCTTATGGAGCTCTGGTTATTATACAAATTAGCATAAAATTACAATGGAGGCAGGTGTTATGAGGGCATTGGTGCATGGTACAAAAAGAGATGATAGGAGGAATGGACCTTTTAGAGAATGCTGCTGCCCTGAGTAAGTAAGTGACCTAAGAAGGAAGAGTAAAGAGTAATGGGTGGCACCTGTGGTTCAATGAGTAGGGTACTGGCCCCATATACTGAAGGTGGCAGGTTCTAGCCTGGCTCCGGCCAAACTGCAACAAAAAATAGCTGGCATTGTAGCAGGCGCCTGTAGTCCCAGCTACTGGGGGGGCTGAGGCAAGAGAATCACCTAAGCCCAAGAGCTGGAGGTTGCTGTGAGCTGTGACACCATGCCACTCTACTGAGGGTGACAAAGTAAAAAAAAAAAAAAAGAAGAGTAAAGAGTAACTAGGGAAAGAGGTGGGAGTAGTATGAGGAGCTAATTTGTTGTAAAAAAAAAAATCTGTTGGAATAAATCAAGTAGACACTATGTGGAAGAGAGCTTAGATTATGGTGGTGGTGCTGGAATGGGTATAGTAGACTGCATCAAGAGCTATCACATATGGGCTCGGCACCTGTGGCTCAAGTGGCTAAGGTGCCAGCCACATACACCTGAGCTGGCGGGTTTGAATCCAGCCTGGGCCCACCCAACAACAATGATGACTGCAGCCAAAATATAGTCGATGTTGTAGTAGGTGCCTGTACTCCCAGCTACTTGGGAAGCAGAGGTAAGAGAATCGCTTGAGCCCAGGAGTTAGAGGTTGCTGTGAGCTGTGATGCCACAGCACTCTACCCAGGGTGACAGCTTGAGGCTCAATCTAAAAAAAAAAAGAGCTATCAAGTACATAAAATCAGTAGGACTTAGCCAGTTGAGGTGGCTCAAATCCGTAATCCCTAGCACTCTGGGAGGCTGAGGTGGGAGGATTGCTTGAACTTAGGAGTTCAAGACCAGCCTAAGTATGAGTGAGACCCTTCTTCCATTAAAAATAGAAAAATTAGCCAAGCACCATGGTGGGCCCAGCTACTAGGGCGGCTGAGGCAGGGGGATCATTTGAAGCCCCAGAATTTGAGGTTGCAGTGAGCTATGATAACACCATTGCACTTTAGCCTGGGTGACAGAGTGAGACTCTGTCTCAAAAAATGAACCTCTTAGGGAGTTCAAGACTTAGGAGTTCAAGATGAGCCTGAGCATGAGGGGATACAGGCAATCCTCCCACCTTGGCCTTCCAGAGTGCTAGGATTATGGATGTGAGCCACCTCAACTGGCCAAGTCCTATAAGGTTATAAGGGTTTTTGACTTATGTAACAGTGGGTAGTAGTGCCCTTTACTGTGCTAGGGAACAGGGATCCAGTTTAAGGAAGAGGGTTAGGAGTCTGGTTTTAGATATCTTGATATTGAACAGAGATGTCCAGTTGACAGTTAAGAGATACTTGTGTAGAGGTCATCCTTGTATAGAGTAAGGAAATTGAAGCAAAAAGGCCATAAGGATGCTGAGGAGAGTTAGAAAAGAAAAGGGGTAGGATGACGATTTGACAAACTGCTTTTTACGGCTTGGGTAGAGGAGAGTGAACCTTCAAGGCACAAGAAAATGAACAACTAGCAAGATAGGAAAAAAAACAGTGCCATCAGTGTTTTAGGAACCAAGGAGGAATTTGGGGGGGGGGGTTGTTTGTTTGTTTGTTTGGGAGGATTTTCTGTTTTTGAGACAGAGTCTGACACTCTTGCCCTGGGTAAAGTGCTGTGGCATTATCATAGATCTCAGCAACCTCAAACTCCTCAGCTCAAGCAATCCTCTTGCCTCAGCCTCCTGCATAGCTGCTTGGTCCTCAGGTTCCCACCACAATGCCTGGCTATTTTTTAGTAGCAATGAGGTCTCACTCTTGCTCAGGCTGGTCTTAAACTCCTCAGTTCAGGCAGCCCGCCCACCTCAGCCTCCCAGAGTGCTAGGATTATTGGTGTGAGCCACCTCGCCCAGCCAAGAGAGGGAATTTGTTGATGCTGGTTGGGTGTGATGCTGTCAGATGCTGTAGAGATGTTATTTAAGATGCAGATAAAAAATTAGCTGTTGGGAAAAATAATTAAGATACTGGTAAGTTAGCAGTGGCAAAAGCAGGCAGGAAGATGAGCTAGAAGAGGGATATATTAAATAAATGAGCACTCTGAGAGGCCAAGGTGGGTAGATTTCCTGAGCTGAGAAGTTCAAGACCAGCCTGAGCAAGAGCGAGACTCCATCTCTACTAAAAATAAAAAAACTAGCCAGGCGTTGTGGATCCCTGTAGTCCCAGCTACTCAGAAGGCTGAGGCAGGAGGATCACTTGAGCCTAGGAGTTGAGGTTGCTATGAATTATGATACCACTGCACTCTAGCCTAGGGCAAGAGAGTAAGCTTCTGTCTCAAAAAAAAAAAAAGTAGACAAATGTTACTGGTAATTTTTAAATTCTTGGCTTGGGAGTAATTTCATAGTTGGTCATCGTATTAATTTTGCCTTATAACTAATGTTTTGAATAATCTTTTATATGTATGAAGTAATATATTAATATTAAAATAATTTGGGACAAGTGTTTATGCTAGAAGGAAAACAAGCT